GGCTCCTGCAAGCGTTCATCAACTGTCCTAAAGTTGCTTATAACTTTAATCCTCATTTTTTCTGTGTCCCATTTTGATCTCCTCACTTTCCTATCTTCATTAAAGCTTGATATTTTCTATCTTATCTTGGCCTTTACAATGATTACTATCACAATTTGCATATCTGCAAACTCTAACATCCAAGATATATCTTCTTCTTCTATTTACAAGTATATGATCTATTTGGTTCGTCGTGCGGCCATCTGGTGTTTTCTACGTGCCCTTATAAATATCTTTATGGGGAAAGGATGTACTCATGATTCTCAGAGTTGCAGTTTCTGCCATCTGACATAATCTATGCCCATTTGGAGATTTTTCATCATGCAGGGAATGCCTATCCGTGATTGTCTTCACAAAATCTTTTCCGATTTTGGCATTGAAATCTCCTAGTATTATCAGTGTGTCGTATTTATTTATGATTTCGCAGGTCTTTTCCAACACGTAGTAGAAGAACTTTGTTTCTTCTTCCTTATTATCTTCCGTGGGTGCGAAAACACTGATCAGAATTAGGTTGTTAAACTTTTATCCTAGTTTGCAGATTCTATCATTAATTGGTTCAAAGCCAAGGATCTTGTTTTTCATTTCTTTATTTATCCAAAAACTGCATCTTTCTGGCCTGCTCTATTCGGCGTTTCGCTCTATAGAAGTGTGTATTCCTTTTTATCTGTCTTTCCCTTCTATTTAATTTCCTGCAGGGCTGCGATATCCATTCTAAATCTGTTGAGTTCTTTTGCTAATTCCCCCATTTTTCCGGCCTGCAGCAGTATCCTTACATTCAAAGTTTCAAGAATCAAGTCATTGTCCTTTTTGGAGTTCCGTATTCGTTTTACCAAAAAACCATCCGTCATCCGAAGTAGCTGTAGTAATGTGTTCATAACAATTTAGTTTCATTAGGTGGATTGTCAGGCCTACGCTAACTAGACTCCGTATTTAAGACCCCCAGAGTCCGAGTAACCCAGATATACCCTTGGGCATTGGGTCGTCAGAGCTTCTGTAATGGCAGGGGGCATCACTGGCCAGCAAGGCTGACATTTGGTTCGCAGAGGCTGTGTCTTCCGCTTGTCAGAATCCTTACCCCCTATTTAACACAAATATATTTTATAGTTTATAGTTGATAGTCTTTCCTGAATCCTGATTTTCTGGTATTATCTTCTTTTTCTCTATTTCCTCTTCCAATTTATTTCTTAACATGCATACACCTTATACGCCGAGCACAGCAAAGAAATTTCTCTATAATTTTCTACCTCTTCTACATCCCCTCTCTTATATAGAGGCACTAATATACTTCTCTTTCAATCGTATGGTATAATCTTTTCTTTCCATATCTGTTTCAACAACTCCGTCAATCTTCCCATAACATTCCGCTTGCAAATTTCCATGCTTCTATGAGGATTCCGTCTACTCTTACTTTTTTTAATTTCATTTTCCTATTTGCCTTCCTTCATCACTTATTTCTTCCTTCTCCTTTACTTCCTTATCCTCTTCTCCTTCTTCCCTTTTTTCAGCATCTCTTTCCTCTCCTTCTAATAATTGCATGAAGTGCGTTCTGTATTTTACCTCATCAATATTGTTTTCTATCCGTTGTTTTTTTTCTTTTCTTATTTCTATATTTCTCTTCTTATTTTTCTCAACTCAGCTTCTTCATTCTCCCTTTTTTTTGTTTTCTTTCCTGCAATTGCCTTTATTTCCTCTTCTTCTTTATATAACTTTCTTTACTTTCTTTTTATTTCCTCCAGCTTTTACATTTCTTTTTTCTGATTTGTACAACTCCTATCCCACCAGATCTTAATACCTATCTTTTTTCTCCTCTTCTTTATTTTCCTTTTCACCATAGTCTCTTGAATAATACCTTTTAAAATTTGCCAATTTTCCTCTACATTCTCCCCTACCTTTTTTTCAATATCCACCTTCAATATCCAACCTATATCTCTCTTCCGTTTACTTCTTATATTTTTCTATCGTCTCCTTATTCCATACGATATACCTTATTCCATATTTCCAGCTTTTTTATCTCATTCTGTATCTCTTCCTCCTCTTTTTCTTTTCTTTCCACTTCTTCTATCTTTAAGATCAGCGGCAGATGGCCTGAGTCTACCTTATCACCTACTTTAAATACAATTTTATCTTTCACATTTTTATTAACAATTACATAATCTATGACTGTATTATTTTTAGCATCTACGTACGTGTATCCTTCCCAATCACCTTTAGATATACCATTCAATATGTACCAATCTTTCTTCTGTATCCACTTTACAAATTTTTTTTCTCCATTATTTTCTCCATTATTTATTATAATTTTATCTTTACTCTTTCTTTTTAACTCATTTCCCTCTGTATCTATTCCTACTAACTCTCCAATTCTCAAATTAAAAATATTAATCGTTGCACAATTTTCTTTAAGAATAATAATAAAAGTGTTTAAAAAATTTTAATTATAATATTTATAAAACTTTGTATATGTATGACATTACCGTACAATTATTATTTGTAAAAGATTGACATTTCCGTACAATTTTGTAAATAAAAGTCAATGTAAAAAATATATTAAATCAATGTAGAATTTATAGGTTCCTACATTGATTTTCTATAAAATTGTACGGCAATGTCACACATACACAAAGTTTTATAATAAATAATTAAATTTTTAAACTCTTTTAATTATTATTATTCATAACGAACATTGTGCAACAATTAATTAATATTTAGTTTAAATAAAAAATAAATTAAAAAAGATTAATCGTATTAAAAAATATAACGTTTACTTAAAAAAAAATGTGAAACTGCGGAAACTCGTCGGCCGCACGAAAAAGGGGTACCGAGCACCTCAGGCTGCTTATCTATACAGACATTTTGTTTACTGATGCATGGTTCCAGTACTTATTTGATAGTTGATCGAGCGCCCAACTTTACTTGCAATTTTCTCAAAAATCGAAGTTCACACATAAACTATTTTATCGTGTTAATACACTCAACCCCGTCCTTCGAATAGGCTCTTTCGGTTTATCCTATTTAGAATTATACAATTGATGTCAATCATCGTCGTGCTGTTCTATAATTTTACAAATTTTAGAATCATGGCAACAGTGCTTTCAAAAATCCGGTATTGCACATGGAAAGCCCGAAAGTGTGGAGCAAAGCGAAGCACACATGCAAAACATGAGGCACGTACATGTGTCTCACCCAGCATTTTGGATTCATACGAAGTAGAAGAGAATAGAGATACTAGCGCATTCTCTCGCGCTGTGCGAAGAAAATAGAAATATTATCATACTCTTTCGCGCTTCACGCGCTGTGAGAAAAAAATAAAAATATTGTACTCTTTCGTTCTCGATGCGATGATCGAGCATCTCAAATGTATCTTGGTTACGCTAACTATTGTTGATATTTAACGTAGAAACTGAAAAAAATAAACAGATATTGATAATATGAACGAAAACGAAAAATCGTTATATATAATCATTATACTTTACAAATAATATTCATTATAATAAATTGTTCTATAATTTTATGAATAAAAATTTTAAACAATGTAATAAATGAGGATGTATATGAAATTACTTTACAATACATTTCCGCTATTCTCTTAAAAATTCAAAGTTGTTATATTTTGAGTAATTAATTACAAAATCGATAAATTTATATGAGTAATAAAATAATCGTTTTTACATCTTACTTCTCCTCTCTTTTTTTATTTGATGCAAGCGAAAATATATGCTATAACAATAAGTATATAACAAAGTTGTAATTACTCAAAACATAGGAAACTTTGAGTTTTTAAGAGAATTTTGAAAGATATATTGTAAAATAATTTTATATATATTTTTATTGTATTTAAAATTTTTATACATAAAATTAACAGTTTATTATAATATAATAGCTTATTATAATAAATATTATATATAAAGTACAATGATCATATGTAACGATTTTCGTTTTCATTCACATTATCAATATCTGCTTACCCTTTTCAATTCATTCGCTATATGATAATAATTGTCAACGGTAACCAAGACGCTCGATCATCGCATCGAGAGCGAAAGAGTACGATAGTATTTTTTATCTCTTCTCACAGTGCGTCGAACGAAACAAAGTATGAGAGTATTTTTATTCTTTTTTACTGTCTAAAAAGAGCCGAAACGCTGGGTGCACATGTACGTGTTTCGTGTGTGTGCTTCGCATTGCTCCATATTTTCGGTCTTTCCATGTACACGCACCAACAGGAATGGTGTCCTGCGCCCGGCGCGCAGCTGCTACACATACACACGAAGCGCGTACGTTCGTATCCGTCGTGTCTCCGCGGAATGCGAAGGAGATCGCGGAGCGGGGAGAAAAAATAGTGGGGGCAATTCGATGTTCCATTCTTAACGCAAGACGCGAGAGAGAAAGCATAATGATCGAGAGAGAAAGCATAATCGGACGTGATATGAAATTTCAGTATCCCATTGTTATCAGGAGACACGGTAGTGTCTCGGGTGTCAAGTCAACCGAGAACACTGCCGTGTGACTATACGCGAGTCGTCGAGGTTCGAGCATCTGAAATTATCGAATCTCAATAACAGCTATACTGATCAAGTTCTAAGTAGGCTTGATCGATAGCTTGAGTCCGACTTACATAATAAAAGTATTTTATTTTTCTGCTACGTGCCCTACAAGCAGAGATATTGCTACACAAAGTCCGATTTGGAAATTTTTACTTTAAGAAACGTCATTATCGTCGCCTTTGTACGGCTGCAACGTCTGTCACGAGATGTCATTATTAATCTTATCGATTCAGCGGATTATCAGACTGATAAGTCAGGGTTATTGTAGAATATAGCGAATCAATGTTCGCTGGGTCCTGCAGTGACCGTGATTTATTGGCCTGATTTATCCGCTGAGTCGATAAAATTGATTGATGTAAACACGATAGTGTTTTTGGTTAGACCTCTCGGGTATCAATATAATAATAAATACGTATATTAAAATTAAAAAGGAAACATTAGCAGTATTAATAAATTGCATACTACTATTATTCTTTTTCTGCACATCCGAGTGGTGGCCAACGATGTTGACGTTCGCGGCGAGTTTGACAATTTGTAATAATTTCGGAGTGTAACTCATGTTTGTGTCTATACTTTGCAGGTAAGTTCTATTTTTCATTTTATCAGAGAACACAAAGATATTATTCTTTTATTCAATCTTATCTACATACTCTTATTATGTCACTCTAGAAAGATCAGTTCCAAATCGAATAAAAATGAAAATTTGTCAATTAAAAAAATAACATCTAGAGAATTATACA